TGAGAGAGGCTGAGGGCTGCTTTATGGCGTATGCAGAGCCTGACTCTTGTTCCTGGGAATGTCCGGAGCTGTGAAGGTGAGTGTCTGTGAGTGTCTTTATCTCTTTCGCCCGGGGTGGTGGTGGTTGGTATCGGTCTGTGTCAGACTCTCTTCTTTGGGGCGGGGGGGTTGTTGATTGGTGTCACGCTCTCTTTGAGGTTGGGGGGGGGGGTCTTGGTCGGCTCTCTCCTTTGGGGGAGGGGGGGATTGTTGGTCTGTGTTATGCTCTCTCTCCTCGGTGGAGTAGGGCGGTGGTAATGGAAGGCTCAACTGGGGGGTGTCGGTCAGTGTCAGGCTCCCTTCTTTGGGGTGGGAGGGGTTGTTGATTGGTGACATGCTCTCTCCGCGGTCGGGGGGGGATCTTGGTCGCCTCTCTCCTCTGGGGGGGGGGGGGGTTGTTGGTTGGTGTTATGCCCTCTTTTCGGTGAAGTGGGGCGGTGGTAGTGGAAGGCTCTCTCAGCCGGGGGTGGGGGTGTCAGTCAGTGTTAGGCTCTCTTCTTTGGGGCAGGAGGGTTGTAGATTGGTGTCATGTTCTCTCCGCGGTTGGGGGGGGTCTTGGTTGGCTCTATCCTTTAGGAGGGTTGTTGGTCGGTGTTATGCTCTCTCTGCAGTTGGGGGGATCTTGGTTGGCTCTCTCCTTTGGGGGGTTGTTGGTCAGTGTTATGCTCTCTCCCGGTGGAGTGGGGCGGTGGTAGTGGAAGGCTCTCTCAGATGGGGGGGGTTGATTGGTCTCTCCACAGGGGGGTTGGGTGACCAATTTTTGTGTTGCCTGGGGCAGCACAAAACCTAAAACACACCACTGCATAGGCTGATGGAGAATATAAAAGGTCAGTTTTTAAGTAGAGGTGGGATAGTCTAACCTCAAGAGACGGGCTTTAAGGGATCATCTAAAAGTGGACAGAGTGGGACATTGTCGGACAAATTGGGCTAGCTAGTTCCAGAGGATGGGAGAAGCTCTGGAGAAGTCCTGAAGGTGAACGTGGGAGAAGGAGATGAAGGAGCTACAGAGCAGGAGGTCTTGGAAGGAGTGGAGGGAATGGTTTAGGTGATAGTTTGAGATGAGATTGGTGATGTAGCTTGGGGCAAGGTTGTGGATGGCTTTTTAGGTTGTTGTTAGTAATTTGATTTTTTTTGCATTGGGTGAGTGTAAGTCAATGGATGGATGGGCCAGAGAGGGTTGGTGGATACTTTTTTTCTTGGGTTTAACTCAGCAGTTGTCTAGCAGGGTTGGAGAATAAACTCCTTCATATACAATGTCTCTTCAACAGTGGAAGAATCAACAAACACTGTATGAGATAAAAACATAGAACGTCAAAGGGCAAAATGTATGAATGTTACAGCAGTAGGTGTCACAATAAACGTGACTTTTTAATTTTTCCTTCAAGGTCACACAGCGAAAATATAAGTCAACTTGAACGTAAGGATTCATGAGCAACCTGCGTGAATCTGGGAGGACCAGTGTTGTGTCTTCAGGCTACAATGGCCAATTTTTGCTAATCGTCCTGCAGCCCTAGAACTTGCCCGACAACATAACTGCTAAGAGTAACTTTCCTCTAGATTGGCCAACCTCACCGCGCTCCTCCCTGGGGGAAAGCTATAAAGCTCAGGGGATGGGGACATTAGGGACTAGTGCAACGAGTGCCAGCGCTGGATGGCAAGGTAGGAGGAGGATGTGCCTCATTATCACTTACTGCTTACTGAACATTTTGCAGATGAATGGTGTTTCGTTCTTCATGAGAACTTCCCTGACATTGCAGATGAGCCAGACGAATCTGTCAGATTGAGATTGGACCAAGAACATTTTAAAGGGTTGTTTATCTTCTACAACTAATGACATGAGATCAGGTTTGCAGTAGAACAGGATTTAACCAAGTTATCATGGAGGAGTCACCAAAACCTCCATTGCCACGCGTTATGGCTTCCATTATTGTGCGTTGCATCAAGGATGCCCGCGCAATGTTAATGGGCTGCCAACGCACCACAAGGGATGAGAAAAATGCACAGGACCCTTTTATAGCAATGCAGCGCACTCACCATGCATGGATTGTGTGTTGTGCTACGGTGCATCACGTGTTGCACTCTACCGTGTAATACAATGGGGGGCAATTCACAACGAATGGCACCACACCACACTTTGGGGTTGATTTACTAAAGGTAAAATAGACAGTGCACTCTGCAAATGCAGTTGTTCCAGAGCTTAGTAAACGAGGTAAACCTTCACCTTACAAAGAATACCCAATCCCATGCCAGGAAAATAGAAACAAAAATGTATTTTTGTTTGTACATGATTGGATGATGGAAGATGATGGAAGTCAGCTGAGCTTCCCATCATTTACGAAGCTCTGGAGCAACTGCACTTGCCTTTAGTAAATTCACCCCATAGAGGAGGAGTATTGTTGCGTGTTGAGGCAATGTGCATATGCATTTTAGCATGTGTTTTTTTTTAGCGTGTGAATGAGCAAATCTTGTTAAAGTTTTACTAAACCCCTCATGCTACGGGGGGGGGGGGGGGTGTATAGAATGGCTAAAGTTTAGAACTTCCAGATTGGGTTACCCTCTTGGTGGCCATTATCACCGAGACGCAAAGTGATGGGAAATCCAAAATTGGTGTTGCCACTGGAACAGGAGGTGAGGAAATATCTTCCAATGGGGTCACTTGTTCTGGCAAAAACTGCCTAAGCCTGGATTCAAACTTCAGGAAATTTCATGTGATTTTGGAGTGGTTTTTTTTTTTTCAGGCTTGAGTGTTTTTGTTTTTTAGCCAATGAAAACCTAGATACTAGGAGGTGGAAATAGATGTTAGGCTTTGAAAAAAAAAACATTACGTGAGGTTTGTTTTAGGTGTTTTTGTTTTAGCCAATGAAAAGCTAGATACTAGGAGGTGGAAACAGATGTTAGGCTTTGAAAAAAAAAAAAAAAAACGCGCACATTACGTGAGTTTTTGTTGAACTCCATAGGAGGACAAAAATAAGTGATCACTTCCAAAAAGAGGTGTTGAGTGGATAACATTGAAATCTGGTGTTGAGTTTTTAAGTGCTTCCATTGGGGAGTCCTCTATAGATACACTACAATGAGTGTGGTCACCTTGGACAGGAAATGAGTTACTGGCAGCATCACCAGGTCATAAAAAGAAGAAAACTAATGCAGCCACCACCTTTTGTAAGGTGCAATATATTATATTATTAGCATTGGTAATAAATTGGTTCCATACAGCGCCAACAGCTTGCAAAACGCTTTACAAAATAATTCAATAGAGAAGGATTGCCCTGCTCTCGAGAGCTTACAATCTAAAGGGAGGGGCAAATGATACTGTTGGGGATGAGATGATCAAGAAAGTAAAGTCCAGTTTTCAGGTGGGGCCAGAATGGCTTCCCGAAAGAGACAGGTTTTCAAAGATGGCCTTAAAATGTTCCCATTTGAGCTTCTTCAAGCATTCTGCAGCATTTTAATGCGTCTGTCCACACTTTTTCAGGTTTTAGCTTTTTTGTTTTAGCCAACAGAAAGTTATTTACTAAGGAAAGGCAAGAAATTGCTTGCAAAACACTCTGACGAAGCTCCAATTAGAAGGAGGGAAACGTGTGAGGTTGCTTTTGATTTGGGGGCACTTCTTTTTATTCTTTTTTGGATCAAATGTCATTTCTTTCCTACCTTGACCTTTTTTTGGGGTGGAGGAATACCCACATATATTGGGATGTGATCATCCCTAGAGAGGTATTTTTATGGATATGAGGAATATGGAGGCCTGTCTATTAGTGGTGTTTTATATCCACATGGATGGGTGTACCCGCATTACATACTATAGATAGATGGATCTCACCTTTTGATATTTTTGATGAGATAGTTTATTATTGGAGTGAGAGAGAAGAGTACACCACCCTATGATAGAAAGATACTATATCCAAGGTATAGGACATGTCCACATGGACATGGATTGCTCTAGGTACGTAAAACTGATAAGTGGTTGGTTTCCTCACCTATAGGAATTTGCATTTGTTTCGTTGAAACACAAAAGTTCAATTTTAGTCAAGTGGCCTTCACGGTGTGGAGGGACCCCCCCCCCCCCGTTCGGTTAAATTCAATACTCTTGTTGAAGTCAATAAGGACCAAAAACGCATGATTCTGCCCCAAAGAAGCTAATGTAGTTGTTTGATCTTCAAGCAAAGCTCAGGTGTGAACAAACACCATGGGATGCAAAGGGAATCCTCATGTCGAGCGTTGAAGCCCTTCCAAAAAAGTGCTTCAAATTGCTCTGGTGTGAGCCAAGGCTACTTTAATGTAACACAATTGACGCGTATTATTGCACATGCATTGATGCACTGCATAAATGTAAATGTGCCCTAAGCCCTGGTTTACACCTGAGCTACTTTTAGCTCTTTAACACGCAACATGGGGATTCTCTTGGATCCTATGGTGCCCACTGTGTCACTTTGAGATTGTCGCTCAAAAAAACTACACAAGCTTTTGGTCCCTATAGACTTCAATAGGAGCTTGGAAAAGCTCAAGATTGAACTGGCGTTTAGGTGCAGAAACATTTTACTTGCTTTTTTTAGGCACTCCCACTGAAGTCTCTGGGGACAAAAACTTGCAGAACAAGGTTCCTTACATTGGTGGTCAGTGGGAAGAATGGTCCTTACATTGGTGCTCAATGGGAAGAATGGTTCTTACATTGGTGGTCAATGGGCAAGAATGTGCCTTACATTGGTGATCAGTGGGAAGAATGGTTCATTACATTGGGAAGAATGGGCCTTACAGTGGTGGTCAGTGGGAAGAATCAGGGAGAAAGAATGTTCCTTACATTGAGGGTCAGTGGGAAGAATGCTCCTTTAACTGGTGGTCAGTGGAAAGAATGCTACTTACGTTGGTGATCAGTGTAAAGAATGTCCCTTACATTGGCGGTCAGTGGGAGAATGTCCCTTACATTGGGTGTCAGTGGGAAGAATGTCCCCTTACATTGGTGTTCAATGGGAGAATGTCCTTACATTGGGGATCAGTGGGAAGAATGTCCTTACATTGGTGATTCAATGGGAAGAATGGTTTCTTACATTGGGGGTCAGTGGGAAGAATGTCCCTTACATTGGGGGTCAGTGGGAAGAATGTTCCTTACATTGGGGTTCAATGGGAAGAATGTCCTTACATTGGTGGTCAGTGGGAAGAATGTCCCTTACATTGGTGGTCAGTGGAAAAGAATGTTCCTTACATTGGGATCAGTGGGAAGAATGTCCCTTACATTGCTGGTTAGTGGGAAGAATGCTCCTTACATTGGTGATCAGTGGAAGAATGTCCCTTACATTGGTGGTCAGAAGGAAGAATGTTCCCCATATTTGTGGTCAGTCAAATATATGTGCCTTACATTGATGATCAGTGGGAAGAATGCTCATTGAATTGCTGGTCAATTAGAAGAATGTCTATTGCATTGGTGGTCAGTGGAAAGAATGTTCCTTACGTATAAGTATGACAGATAAATTCTACAATTGCAATGTTGCTCAGTGTGAAGAATGTTCTTTACATTGGCGATCTCTGGGAAGAATGACTTTTACATTGGTGGTCAGTGGGAAAAATGACCCCCCCCCAAACAGTAATGGTCAGAACGCAACCCCTACAAACAGCTACAAAAAGCTACCAAGAGGTGGCAGATGTAGCTACTATAAAAATGGAAGGTCAATCAACCACAAACCAAGGATCCTCTAGCAACCTCTGGATGAACCCCGAGGTCCAGAGAACCCTGGTTGAGAAAGGCTGCAGTAAAACGAAGGACATTGTTGGAGATGACATGTGACATTCAACAGGTTGTTTGCAATCTGGCCTCAGGTTCTCTGAAGTTCTTCTCCTCCACCTCTTCAAGTGTATATACTTGCGTAGGGCCCCTATAATGACTCCCCCTCAGAGTACACAGACTCAATCAATATTACTGTTGCTAGAGAGAAAAATATTCTCCCGAGGGCTAGGCTTTCTACCTAGAAACACAGGAGATTCATCTGCAGATAATAACAGGTTATGGGGCGCGTAATACATGAGAAAGAGCAGAACTCCCGTCACGGTCCTTGCCCCCGGGCTACATACCGGCTCAGGGATGGGTGCATGGCAGAGTGACAGGCCAGGTACATGGCCCCCAGTGACTTCACGATAGGTGTCAGCCAAGCAGGTACAGACTCAGCCGTAGGCTCAGCCTGAATGGGGAACACTCAAAATTCCTGGTGTCAGAGAGGTGACAGGTCATTAATGATTGGATGCCATTGGTTAGTGCACCAAAGTGCTTTCATCATCCTTGCGACACTTAATGAGCCTGCATTCCAAGCAAAATAATCATACATGTATATGAGGGGTGGGAGCAGAGTGGACAGATACTCATGGGATTTTGGGCCCCCTTGGGACTTTAAGCCCTGGTTCGCACTGAATCTGACTTTGAAATCGTGTGACTTCACTCAAAGCCACACAATTTCAAATCCACAGGTCACTGCAATTTCAGGTGTAACTTGCATGACATTTGTGCGACTTCATGCACGGATGTCTATGCAAGTCGCACCTGAAATCGCCAAAAATATTGCAGGAACCTTTTTTTTCAAATCAGTGCGGCACCGCAAAGTCGGAGTGGCACTGATTGAATGGTTCTATTGCTGACAATAGGGTGCAACTTGTCATGAGATTTGGAACGCGGTCATAGTCGCACCGGTGTGAACCAGGACTGAAGGGTTTAAAGTGTAACTACGCACAAATGAAAAAAAAAATGACATCTACGTTGCAGTCTGTAACTAGCATTTTTTTTTTCAAAGTCCCCCACAGTACATGGTTTTGTTACCTGTTATACCCTCCAGTAGATCTGCTATTTTTTTACTGCTGATATCAGGGTGACAACGATGTGAAATCACACAGCAGTGTTGTCACCAGGGGTGGACTGACCATTCTGGCACTCGGGCACTGCCTGTGGGCCTGGGGTCAGTAGGGGGCCCCATGTGATGCCCCTGGTACCTTTCATAGGCTTTTTTGGGTGTGGCTTCAGTGTGGGCGAGGAAACAGGGGCCCCATGATCCCCTATTGCCTGGGGGCCCCATGAGTTGTCAGTCCGCCCCTGGTTGTCACCCTATGGACAGGGTAGTCATGCCATTTTAAATGTTTTATTTAAAATGAATGAATACCCCAAACTTTTTTGTTTAATATATTCGAGAAGAACGTGGAAGGTTTAAAATCACTGAGACGAGCCGGAACCACAGCAGGCGGTGCATCAGGAGGCGCGAAGATTGCTTTACAGTCGGGGCTTTTTTTCAGCGGTAATGCGGGGGAACGCAGTTCCGGCACCTCCAGCACTGAAAGTGGTTGTAAAGTCTCAAGGTTTTTTTACCTTCATGCTTTCTAAAAAAAAAAAAAAAAAAAAAAAACATCTGCCCCCCCAGCCCCCCTAATACTCACCTAACCCCCCTCTCAATCCAGCAATGTGCACTGGAGTCGCGTCTTTCCTCGACTCCCTCTCCTCATTGGCTGAGACAGAAGCAGGAGCCATTGGCTCCCACTGCTGTCAATCACAGCCAGAGAGCCAATGAGAAGAGAGAGGGGGCTGGTCCAGACCCTGGCTCCGTGTGTAAATGGACACACGGAGCAGCGGGTGCCGCCATAGCAAGCTGCTTGTTGTGGGGGGCACCAGGCAGGAGTGCCCCCAAAACCACTGCACACAGAAGGTAAGTACAGACATGTTTGTTATTTATGGAAAAACAAAACCTTTAGAGTCACTTGAATGTTTGCAATGGCAAGAGTTGTTGGGGTGTGCTGGAGGGTGTACTGTTGCTGGCTATGTTGAGGACCTATTGTAGCTGGAGGGGGTTCTATTGTTGAAGAAGGTCTATTGTTGCTGTTGAGGGATTTATTGTTCTGGGGGGCTTATGTTGCTGGGGGGGATAATTGTTGCTGGGAGGGATCTACTGTTGAGAGAGGGGTCTACTGATGTTGGCTTCTGGTACATCTAGATTGTTTCTGGTGGGAGTCTATTGTTGCTGAGGTGGTCTACTGTTGCTGGAGGGATCTACTGTTGCTGGCTGCAGGGGATCTATCGTACCGACTTATCATGAATGAATTACATATATATTACATAGCACCACAAAATGATACTTGGCTCTGTATTGTCTAAAACAGGGGCCTCCAAACTGCGGCCCGAGGGCCAGATGTGGCCCTTGTCTTTATCCAGCCCTTGGGACAATAATCTTTCCAATGATACAATTACATAGTTACATAGTTAGTCTGGCTGAAAAAAGACAAAAGTCCATCCAATTCAACCATAGAAAAAAAAAAAAAAAGGTATAATCCTACACCCACAGTTGATCCAGAGGAAGGCAAAAATCCCAGCAAAGCATGATCCAATTTTCACCTGCTGGGAAAAAAATTCCTTCCTGATCCCCGAGAGGAAATCAGATATTCCCTGGATCAACCTTCCCTATAAATGTTAGTATCCAGTCATATTCTGTGTATTTAAGAAAGAATCCAGGACTTTCCTACAGCAATCCACTGAGCTGGCCACAACCAACTCTTGAGGAACAATACACTATTCCTTCCACTGACACCAACAATGGGCACTATTCCTTCCACTGACACCAACAATGGGGCACTATTGCTCCCACTGACACCAACAATGGGCCCCATTGAATGAAAAACAGGATCCCTAACGCTCAAGGGGTGTACAATCTAAGGTCCCTAACCAGGGGTGGACTGACAACTCATGGGACCCCTGGTCAATAGAGGATCATGGGGCCCCGTGTCCTTGCCCACACTCAGTGCTAAAATGGTCAGTCTGCCCTTGTCCCTAACTCACATTTGTATACTAGGGTCAATTGAGACAGGGTCCAATTCACCTACCAGCATGTCTTTGGAGTGTGGGAAGAAACTGGAGTAAACCCACACAGGCAGAACATGCAAACTCCATGCAAGTGGTGCCATGTTTGGGATTTGAACCAATGACCTGAATACTGCCAGACAGAATTGCTAACCATTTAGCCACCGTGCAGCACTTTTGCAACTATGGATGCACTAGGCATGTAGAAGTCGCTCAGAAGATTGTTGGTAAGCTTTTACAGGAAGAACAATGTATCTCTAATTTGGCCAATCCAATGACTGAATATCTGTACTAATATGGACTGAAAAATTTCCCCTGCTCTCATGTCATGTCAGCTTTGGGAAGTGTAATTTAATGCAAATGTATTGAAGGGATTGAGAACTCTTGGCGTTGCATCCACCCATCTTGGAAAGTATCTTCCCTCCGTAGTCTGTGGAGACATCCCACAATTCCCTCTTCACTACGCCACAACCATCTCCATTGCACGCTGTTGTTTCGCAGTTGCGTCAAAGCCCCATTCACCTCTATGGGACACGGTGGCAGGTGGTATCACCTGCTGCCAATGACATGCAGTTTTTCTTGCCACATCATGAAGTACAGCTTCAACCTTCAAGGCTGTGGTGCTGTGTATGGGGCTGTCTGGTGGTTTTGACAGGTGGCTGAGGCAAATAAAAGTGCCCTCAACTGCCTGATGTTGCTGCCTGACATTGTCATGTAATAGGGGTCTATATCTTTTATTGAACGCTGAAGGGACTTCCCAGTTGTCTAACCTTTGACTGGTTTTCTCTGCAGGAAACATGGACAAGATGAAGATGAGTTTTCTGCTGGGCATTGTGTGCGTGACTTTTTGTTTTCAATTCAGCCAGGCGCAAAGTAAGTAACAAACCTTCATGACCCCATAATCCAGAGATATAACCACCTTCCCATTGTGAAACGCTGTGGTGCATACATAGTGGAGCAGTCAGTGTATTTTCAGTGACTGTAAAGAGCCAACGTGGCTAATAGAGTATTCATCCCAAGAAAATATGATCAGGGGTGTCTTCCGAGATCCATAATGAAATTGGGCTACAGTGGTTATCATAAGTAGTTGTAGAGGTAGCCCCGTAGGAGCCAACATTAGGACCCTAGGTCTTTTCCTGAAACTGTCCCACAGCCAGGCACATGCACAATCATTCTGTTGGCTCAAGAAATGATCCAGAAGATTTTTTTTTTGATGATTTAATAGGGATAGGAGATGGCGGGATACTCCGGTAACTAGCAACAACTCGAGGACACTGAACTTGCTTCCTTGAAGGCTGAGCACAGTCCCTGTATAGTAGGTATAGGAAATGCTCTGCAATGACAGTATTGAGGAGGTTAAGCCTTCCTTGGTGGACAGTCCAAGCAAAAGTCCCTTCAAAAGGAATTAGGTATACTATGCTCTTCAGGACACAGTAACCTCTTAGCAAACACTCAGCTGACCTTCTAACGCACAGGAGAGGTGGCAGCAGCACTCTATAGGATCTCTCACCCTTGTCTGTACTCACTGATGCCTCTGGACAATGAATAGTGGACCCCTACCAGTATTCTGCAGACACTTGCCCCCAGTAGTACCAGACCAGATGCTCAGACAACAGCCTCTCTGTCAGCTCTCCGTAACCTTCAGTAGCTCCAGGCCCTCCAGCCTCCCATCTGGGGCCTCCTCATTTGGCAAGCACATGGTAGTAGTGCCCAGGGTGGGCAAGCA